CACTTCAGAGATTGGAGGAATTACACATACAAATGCTGGATCGAAGTCATCAATATCAATAACAATGTCATCTGACGATATGATTGACACAACTTTGGACGTGACAGTTGTTGTTTCAAAAGATTTACAAAAAATGTACTATGAAGCATTTGATATTTCCTTCTTTTCTGACGGAACTGTACCAACTCCAGCACCAACTCAATCGCCTACTTCAGCACCATCTCAGTCACCAACTGCAGCGGTAAGAATCATAATGGCTTTATGTCTGACTCATCTAAGTATCTGTTTTCTGTTTTCTAGCCCACAAGCACGTCCCAAATCCCTTCAATTACCCCATCGACACTGCCATCAACACTTTTATCACAGATGCCGTCAATGAATAAATCATCAAATCCTTCGAATGCTTTTAGTGAGAGCCCGAGTGTCGCGCTAACTGATGTTGATGAGACCCATTCTCCAAGCAAGTCAAAATCAAACTCTCCAAGTGAATCACCATTGCCAAGTATGGCTCCAAACATGTCAATGATCCCTTCCATCTCAACAAACAGTGGAATTAAACCATACAACTTTAGTATATTACTTTTCATTTCTGCTGTAGCAGTTTCTGTTTTACTTCTTTGAAAGTCTGATGGTTTCATGATATCTTTTTACAAAAAAAGAACAAGCTAAATTGAAATCGGCATACGTTTTTTCATACGTAAATAACCAATGTTTCACATACTTAACTACGTATGTACGTAGTACATAATTAATTGATCTATTCGCTTCCTTTTATTGACTGATCCGCATATAAATACGATGGTGGAGATTAGTAATGTATAATGAGAACAAAATTTTATCTTTTGGTCTTCACTCAAAAATTGAAAATTGTGAATGAGGAGGAAGACGTTAAAACGGTCATTTTGACTTGTCGTTGACCTCTTGTTTTGGCCCAAATGCCCTCATTTTCATTGGATATCTTCAGGAAGCGATCTTCTTCCGGAAAAACGTCAGAATTCTCATCACAAATTCCTATCTTTTGCAATGCTTATTCAGATAGATTCAGATCATCACTACAATCTACTCGTAATTGAGTTCAATACCTGCATAAAATCAATAAAACAACAAAAGATACCAATCATATATAAACTGGCTACAATGGTGAACTCAAGCAACGATGTACAATGGGACGATATTGATAAATTTAGATTCTATGGCCTTGGAACAGGCATGTATACACTCATCACAATGACACTCCATCCAATGAACGTCATCAAAACGAGGCAACAAGTTTTAACGGATTCAAATCAGATAACGAGCCACATGTCAAAGTTTCAAAAAATTAGGGGAATGTATAGGGGATTAGGAATAGTGTTGGTGGTAGCTGTACCAGCTCGTAGCATATATATGGGAACTATGGAACATACAAAGAATTACCTGCAGAAAGCATTACAAAGTTCCAATGTCACATCAGATCAAAGGACGCTGATGGCTTCTATTACTGGCTGCGTCGCTGGTGGAGTTGCATCTGGTGTAACTCAAACAGTAGTAGTTCCAATGGATGTTATATCGCAACGACAAATGTTGAATGAGTCAGGAAGTGCTGTACAAATCATTTCTGATATCTTGAGGAATGATGGGCTCCGAGGCTTCTACCGAGGCTTTGGAATGAGTCTATTCTCCTCGCTTCCAATAGGTGCTCTGTGGTGGGGTAGCTATAGTGGAATGCAAAATTTCGTTCAAGGCAAGTTCCAACAAAAGGGTTTTGACACTCAAGACCTTTCTGTTCGAGGTATTGCACAAGTAGTTTCTGGTGTAACTGCAGCTGCAGTCGCTGCAACATTAACTCAGCCTCTGGATGTTATCAAGACACACGTTCAAGTTTCTAGTAGCTCCTCCTCGACTAGTTCCAGTATGATGCAATCGCAAATGCAACAAAAGGTTACTTATTCCAGTGTCGCTCGTGAGCTCTACTCCAAAACTGGTGCCAAAGGGTTCTTTCGAGGGACTACACCTAGAGTTACTAGAATGGCCATGTGGGGAACAGTCCTCAGTGGTGCACACCAAGTCTTATGTCATGTCTCTAGAAAAGATTATGAATTCGACTTTGATTTTGAGCTAGGACAGAAGCTAGTTGCTTAGATATATACCACTGGTCCCAATTCAATACATACTATATATTTAGATGCCAATAGTTATAATGTAATTTTTAGATTTAAAAGAAATTCATGAAGTATTTACATAGACATTCATACGCACAAGATGGACATAAGCATGTACGATTTCATTCATCGGCTTAAGGAACTTATAACTTATGCTATATCTCTATGTACTTTCCTCCTTGACATGTATGTAACTCTCACTTTGTTTACAGTGGCTTAACATCAACCTTTACAGTATAGTCCTCCATATCAAAGGTTGTCTCCAATGCTTCTTCTTCTGATTCTTCATTTGCAGAACTAACTTCCTTCTTTCCCTCCAAATGAGGAAAGCTTCCAGAGTATGGCTGATCATCCTCTGAATCACTATCGCCTTCATACCATTGATCATAGGTATAATAACGATAACCAACCAAGCCTACAAAAGCAGCTATAGCTACTCCAAACAAGGACCCAACGATAACACCAGCCTTGTTCTTTTTCTTTTTAGGTTCTTCACTCTCATCCTTGACTGTAATCTTTGGAATTGTGTCAGAAGTTTCGGAAGTTTCTGACGTATCGGATGGTTCTGATTCATTTTCCTCTGGACTCACCTCCCACTCAGAAGCTTTGGTAAAGAAAGCTTCTCCAACTGGATATGGTGATAGTTCGGAATGATTACGATTACGAATTGCATTCTCTAATTTCCAATAGTTTTGCATGATTGTCATCAATTTATTGTTGCAACGTGCTAAAGATGGAATATTGGTAGTTTCAAAAGTAAATGCTCCACTGAGAATAAATGTTGTTCCGTAGATGTTTGCATCGTCTTTATGCTGAATAGATTGCTTTTGAAGAACTTGAAATTCCACAGTGTCGAGGATATGTTCTGGAAACTTGTTTTGGAAAAAGTCCTTCATTCTTGCTGTTGAGAATTCATTAATTGCGTCTACAAATACACCTGTTGCTTCATCTGATAAAGACTTTGGTGTCTTGAAGAAGGTTACTTCGAGTGGAGGTTCAATGGCTACTTGACGCTGGTCGAGTGTAAGTGCTCTTTGGGATCCTCGCACAGATGATGTCGAAGCTCCCGCAGCATAAAAAGCGCACTGTAACAGCACGAGAAGTAGTGATTGTATAATCTTCATGTCTGAAGTTAATAATAGTCTTGGTGGTATGTCGATGAGTGTTGTATGAAGCAATTGACTTGTATGTTTCTTCTCTGCTATTGAGAAAAACTCTCTGTTTTTTGTTTGCCATCGGCCATCGGCGCACCAATGCATAAGTAACTTGGCGGTTCAAGTCTTGTAGAAGGCAAATTCGATGTCAAATTCTTCTTTACAAGATTGATTCACTAAAATAGATTACGACTTTTCTTGTCGTGGTGGTCATTGTCACAGTGCAAAAGAAAAATTCAGAAAAACATGGCATGAATATGATGAATGATGAATAATGGCAGATGAGGTATACTAGCTAGTGTAGTGTTCATTATTTGAGTAAATTCATGAAGAAGGTTGAGTGGTAGAAGAAGCAAGAATCTAATGGCCGCAAATAAAAATGAGATGTAAAATTTTTAACAATGATGTATCTTCATTCTGTCGTACTCTTGAAATATGTTCACATTTTTTTAAACTTGATGACTCGAACTAAAACTTCTTTCGATAGAGGCGCAAACAGAAAGTAACATAGAATGCCTTTTTCTTCCTCTTGTAGAGCACAGAGGTTCGTGTAACTGCTCCTATTACTGTTATTCATAATAGCGGGTATGTTTATTCATGAAAATGAAACGGGCATAGTAAAGGATAACCAATTAGGAATAAACTACTTTACTTTCAAGTCTAGATTACTTGCTGAGAAGCGCTCGTAAGTTATTGTATGCGATTTGATTCTTTCTCTGTATGATGATGGCTATGGGAAAAGGGCATTCGCAAAAGCTAGTCGCTAATTGAATGATGATGCTTTTGCGATTTTTTGATAGTAATGGATTCATATGATATTTATAATTTATATTTTAAAACCATGATGGTTCCGTGTGCCGACAGATTATTGTTTGAATATTCAACATGGTCAAATATAATGAAAGTGCGGTAAAAAACTCATGAACGCTTACAACTTCATTAATATTGCAATTGCACTGTTTATATATTCCAACTAGTGATAATCTACAGCACTATACCCTCCTTGCTGTAATGTTCCAAAACATAAAACCCCACATTACACAGTGATGTATCTTATTTATCCATCGATATTTTTTCCTTCAAGTTCATACTGAATATCTAAATTGTTAGCCACCAAATAAAGATCATCCAACATTTCCTTTGCAATATAATCTTTTGAACAGTAGTTTCTAGTTTCTCCATCTACAAATTCAATCGAGACACTAGGTGGTGCGACTGTTCCAAGTACTTTTGCATTTATCTTGAGTTTAGGGTTTGCTTTCTTGAATCTATCAGCTTGAACTTGTCGCAATAATTCCCTTGCAGATTTCGTTCGGCTGTCAAAAGCTGTGTGATGCAAATATGAGATTTGTTGGAATAGATATAGATTGCGAGTGTTATAGAAAAAGAAGAAGTGACTTACGGTTGAATTTGATGTCAACCTTTTTGACATACTTGAAGAGATGAGTTGTCATTTCACGAGATAATTTAAGTGGCATATTAAAAAGCTTGATGATTCAGAGAGTTTTCGATATGGAGTAAAGTTTGCAGAACCTAAAGATAAACTTTGTTGATGCGATGTTGTTTGACTATGTTCTGTTATCTGCTTTCTGCTTTTTGTGTCTCGGTAAAAATTGTGTGGTGTGTGGTGTGCGAAGAGCGGCGATAGAAAGCTGCAAAAACATATAAATGTGTTTATATATTGTAACATGGGCCTATGCTGTTGGTCTAGATAGTACAGTGGTCAGTATCTCGCATTGTGGTTGCGATGACCCGAGTTCGATTCTCGGTCTGGACACGTTTTTTTTTTTGTCTAGTGATGATCATCTTCTTTTGCATTCTTGATCAGCTTGTAGCGTCCACTTATAGCGCCAGCAACGATCAAAATCAAGAACTGCATGATTTTATGTTTTTAACAAATGACCTATGAAACTCAAAAACTGCATATGAATATTATCATCGCGCACTGCATCGGTATCCTAGTGTTCTTCCTACATCGTTTTTGAAAATTGAAAACTAAATTGAATAGATTCGCACCATACTCACCGTTTGATTGAAGAGAAAAGAATAATGTTTCTTACATAAATTCAAATCACCATTGCTGTAAACCTCAGGAACCTAATCCGAAACCCTAAACATCACAATCTTCTTCATACACACCAGAAGCTTGGATTACATACACTCTCGATAGCTGAAAGGTATTCATATATTCTTCTACTCTGCATTTTGATCCTTCTTTGATGTAGCTTTTTACTACTTTGAATTTATTTGGATTTAAATTACTTTCCGATTGTTTTGGCTTTTTCTTTATTTGATGATGAAGTGTGCTTACGTCATCTAGAGAACCACAAGAATCATCCTAACTTGAACTTGGTTCTTTTGGGAATGGGAATGGAAAACGGAAAACTTAGATCAACATTGAAGAAGTACTAGAATCCAAAAAATACGAAGCAACGTGATGATCGGGGTGATACTGAAACTTCTGATAACAAAGAAATGAAGGAGTTTCCTTGGAAGAAAAGGGTATGTATCGTTGCGCAACACTTTGTATGATGTAGATATTAAAAATAGACATCATGCTGATGCGTACCACAAAATGATTACCGTTTGAACTTCAAGTGATGAAGAGCGACATGCCGTTTAAGTACCACTTCCTTTTTTTAAGTTTTTGTTTGGTCTGGCTTATCTGTGTAAAGTCTCGCTGATGTAAATGGGAAATGTATATATATATATATATATACACTCAACAAATGGGATAAGAAATATTAGCTAATCAAACAATTACAAGAAGCTCTTATTGAAACTTATATCCTATGTATATTTATCTTATAATGTGATAGAAGGGTTCTTTACATTGATTTCTCCCCTCGCTTCTTCTTACTATGTACTGCAATCTTCAGAAACAATGTCGCGATCTGATTTCTACGACGATTACTACTAGCAACTTGGCTACCATCATCGCCATTTGTTGCATTACTTCTCTTCCAAAGGAAACTTGATCTGATTTTCTTCTTAGTGCGAAAAGGAATGCTCTTCTCTATTACTTCATTTGTAGATTGTTCATCCTTGTACTGCACGTCCTCCTTCTCTTGATCTTTTTCACGACAAGAAGAAGATCTTTGTTTGATATCAAGACTCCACATATCAATATAACTTATGATATTATGAAGTCTTTGACCATCAACAAATGAGTAAGTGCCGCGAAAGTAATCCATCTCTTCGTCAAAGGTCTCTAAATCGTGATGTCTATCAAAGGTTCGAACTGCAGTAGCAAAGAGCTCAAGGTTGTATGATATGAACTCAAGAAGCCATGAGACTCTTTCTCTAACACTGCTTAACGAAATAAGCATGTCTTGATGGCGTATTGACTCTTGCTTTCTCTCTAGACGGGATAAAGCCTTGTTGATTAAAGTCTCTTCGTCGTAGTAGAAATAATTGAATCTATCAGAATGAGATTGCAACAAACTCCAAAAGCACCTCTCATTGGCAATTACTTTCTCGTCGAAGAGGACATCAGTGTCGATGCCGTTGTTTTTCGAGCAAACTTGTACTTCTCTCATGGTTTTCTGTATGATTTTGATGGGAAAAAAGTTGAGAAGTGCTTTGCTTTTGCAAAACTTGCCAGTTTCTCTCGGTGTCCTGGGCTTCGCGGGCAGCATTCTACTTCAAGTGGCAACATTCTACTTCAAGTAAAAGCAGTTCTCTCATGTCGCATGCTAAATACAACTTCAAGTTCAGGGGCGCGCGGGAAATCACATATGAAGTAAGTTGCTCAGAGGAAAAATTACACATCCACAAGCCAAAGCACACGTCTTACTCTAGTCAGTCTTTTGTTTTAATTTATTTGATTGGGAACTAAGGATACTGCTCCTTTGCTTACAAACACAGTTCAAGATAATACAAACGTGTTAGGAGCACGGCATGGAAGTTTCTAGAAGTCAAGGTCGATTACTTCCTTGTGCAATTTCTCCTGCGCTACCATGACCAAAGATTGATCAGTGAGTCGAAGGACAAACTGAATCATCATGAAGTTATTTCTCTTCTCGCTCCTGACAAAATGGGGATCAGGGTAAATTTTATCACAAGCTTCGCCTAGCGGAATAGTGATGCGACTACAAAGATAGCCGCCCTCGACATCCTTCAAACTGCTGTAGCCAGCCAGTCATTACCTTCTCCAGTCCTTGCTCGAACCGGAACTTCTTTCTTTGATCATTCTTGATGTAGGGCATTCTCTCATCTGTGAGATAGTCCTGATCAAGAAAACAGTCTGGGATACGAATGCGCAACAATAGTCATATTTTGTCATTTTCTGAAATATAATCGAGGACAAAAACTATTATACTTTATGAGCTGATGTCAAAGGGAAGGAGGGGGAGATTGCAGGAATACTATGAATACCAACGAGCGCTATGAAAGGAAACCCGCCCTCAATGATTCTTCTTCTTACAGAATAGAGGAAGCAAACGTTGCTAGATGTTGGTATAGAGTGGTTCGTTCGAAACAATTGCAACAAGAATATATTTATCGAAGATGATGCATTCGAAGTTCATTCGTTAATGTAATTGCTTCAAATCGTAAACAATGGTATATTCATCATTGCTTGAAAAATACATAAAGAGGAGTAGATCTAAAGTTTAGTCGCCAGACTGAAGTAACAAGAGAATGACATTGAAGCAAATGCTGGTACTAAGCAAAATCAATGTTGTAGTTAAGCGTACTATATAACTATAAAAAAGCCAAGTACGTAAAAATAAAAACAAACGTGTCTGTGATAGTAAAACATCAATTTATTAAGTTAGCAAACTTTTTTTCAATATACAATCCCTAGCTGAGGTTAAAAGAAGTTAATCTGAGCTCTTCTTCTTCTTTTTCTTTTTACTCTCCTTCTTAGACTTTTTAGAAGAAGGTTCTTCTGCATCTTCGACATCCTCTGCCTTACGTTTCTTATCCTTCTTCTTCTTCTTTTTCTTATCCTTCTTCTCAGAGGAGTCACTTGCTTCCTTCTCAATAACAACGTCATTTGAATCATTGTATGCAGGCTTAGCAGCTGTTGGTGTGTATGTAGTAGTCTTCTTTGCTGTGAGAGCTCCATCCTTATTTATCGATGAGATAGCTCCTGATCCGCCCTCTAGTTGTCTGAGTCTTGCTTCTACCTTTGCTCTTCCTTCGTATCCAATAGTAGTATCTACATTCTCGGCAGTTTCGTCTGATAGAGCATCTACACGGGTAGCCAATGAAGCCTTTGCAGCAAGAACTCTACTAATCTTACCCTTATTCTTTGGTGCTGCCTGTCCAATAAGCGAGGCGTGATAAATAAGACCGTATTTTGGTGTATCGTGCTTAGTTTTTAAAGCACGGAAAAGAGCCTTCTCAGCTCCAAGAATTTGGACAGTGGAAGCAGGCTGCTTTGCAAGATTCATCAATGATCCAGCATGAGAAATGAGACGTGCTCCAACAAGTTCACCAACGAGGATGGTAAGATTCGGTGCGATTGCATTCATTCTATTCTTTAGGTAAGTGAAGAGCTGAATACGATATTCAGTCATGGATAGCACCTGTTCTGCAAGAGCTTGGATATTGATGATATCCATGTCAGCGATTTCAGTTCCCATGGATACTTCTGCAGCATCCTTAACTGTCTTTTCAAGAGTTTCATCTTCAAAGATGGATGAGAAATCACAGTTTTTAAAGTTTGTTCTGAATCCAGCAGAAAGAACAACCTTTGCATATTGTGCATTATCGTTTACAATTGCTTGCATTTCTTTGGGGTGGTTCAGGAAAAGTGTCAGTATTAGGTTCTACATGATATGCAAATCATCCTCTATTCTTCTTCTTTTATTGATTACTCACCTGGAAAGTGCCATCCATACCATTCCTTGACTCTCATTGCATAAGTATTAATTTCCTTATCGAGTTCATCCAACAAGCCAACAGCTTGAATAACCATGGTGTCAACCTTATCAGCAGAGAACTTGAGCTTATATCTACTCAAACTATGACTCAAACCAAGCTGCATAGCACGAATATCATCTCCACTAGGAGCAGCCTCAGTCGCGCTCTCAAGAAGTTCATCCATATATGTTCGAATTCCTCTAAACAATTCCATAGTTTTACTGTCACTGACAATGTCCAATCCCGATACCTTATCTTTAATATCAACTGCCAAGTTTTTGTCTATGACTGCTAAACTCTCTCCTTTGAGATCCTTCTTGACTTGCTTTTTCAGAAACGATTTGAGAGATTTTGACACTTTACCCTCTACACATGCTGTTGCTGCGGATACAGCATCTGCGGTATCAACAAATGGTTGAAAGGAGACGAGGTTTACAAATGAAGTTGCGTCTTCTGCTGATGAGAAGAACTTTTTGTGAATATCGTCTGCATCTGTCTTTGCCAGTTTCTTTTCATTGGAAACCTATAGAAAGAAACGTTAGACATTTGTATAAGAATGAGAGGTTGTATAGGGTATCGGAGAGAAAGAACAAGTCTTGACACAACTCTCTCGCACTCAAGATAGATGATGACGTACCTTGAACAAGGAGTATCCAGCTGGTGTCTCGAAGAGTACAATCATATTGTTTGTATTTATTAAGAATTGATGGTACTACAACTACTTCAATTGACTATTCTTCTACTGCATGTAGATAACTTCTTTGATTGGATCCATTGGCTTTGAGTTGATAGTCTCATTATTTTTTTTCAGTTTTTCTTGGCTGTCGATGCCTTTCGAAGTCCCTCCTTGGATAGGGACAATATTAGACCTCATTACCTATAAATATATATGTCTAATATATGTCG